AAAGAAACAACAAAAAGAAAAATTTTGCGCTCACTGGCACAAACATCCCCACCCAAAAACACTATGTCGCAGCATGCCTTCCTAACAATCCCCCCAGAGAGAGCGAGAGAGAGAGAGAGAGAGAGAGAGAGAGAGAGAGAGAGAGAGAGAGAGAGAGAGAGAGAGAGAGAGAGAGAGAGAGAGAGACAAGGAGACAGAGACAGAGACAGAGACAGGATTTGACACACATACACAGACAGAGACGGAGACAGACGGACAAACATGCAGTCCGCCAAACAAACAAATAAAACAATTAAACAAACCAGCCCCCCTTCCCCCCGTCCTCTTACCGTGACAGGCTCAGTGAGATAGTTAAAGACAGTAACTTGGATAACGAGCTCTTCTCCTCTGATCACAGAACTTGGGCAAGTCAGCACCGTGAAGAAGGACCTGAACACTTGCAGCTGGGGAGGGGAGGATGGAAAGAAGGACATATTATTAATGACGATGATGAGATGGAGGGGGGAGAGAAAAAAAATGAGGGGGATGGAAGGAAAAGGGATGAAGAGACGGGAGGGGTAGGGGTGGAACAGGGGGAAAACGATAAAAAGAAATACAAGGTATAATCAAGTTTGGGCATGTCAGCACGGCGAAGGAGGAGCGGAATACTTGCAGCTGGGGGAAGGAAGGAAGGAAAGAATGACATATTAATGACGATGATGAGATGGAGGGGAAGAGAAAGTAAGTGAGGAGGATGATGGGGAAAGACATGAATATTCCGGAGGAGGGGGGGGGGGCGGTGAGGAGGAGTTAATTAGGTGGAAGAAGATAAAAGATAACAACACATAATAATACGGTCAATAATAAAATAATAATACTAACATTTAACTCATTGAGACAGCGCATTCTGGTTATTCGGCAGCTTTAGAAGACTTGCTGTTTTGGGCCATAACTGTTAATTTTTACACATGTTCTCATTTATGTCTTCTTTATCTAGAACGTAGAAATGCCGGCAAAAATATGTATCCTATAATAATAATATCTGAAAATTGGTGTTTCTGATTTGTGTCTCTGATGGTTCGAAAATGTTTCGTATACGTCCCATTTTGTATGTCGCTGATCGATCACGAATCATCAACGTCCTTAAAGAATTAACAGCAAGACCCTTCACTACCT